TATTATTATAATTTATAATTAAAATAATAATATAAGCAAACCCAACTATTTTAAACACAAAATTCTATAGAGTTTTGAAATTTTCTGTTTATTTTGGTACATTTTGACACCTGCAAAAAAAATAAAAAATTAATGTAGAGGTTGTTTCTATGAAACTATGTTTGCCTAACCAAAAATCTTACACAAACAAATAAAAAAACGCACCTTATTCGTTAACGCTTCGAAAAGCAATACTTTCTTCATTGGAAAACAGACGAAAAGAACATTTTTTTTATTTTGAAAAAGAGAATATAATTTTCGTAATTTTTGATTGTCCGCTTTTTCTATTTCAGATTAAGTAAAACTTGAACAATCCTTGACTGAGCCTTTTCAGTCAGTTCTATTTTAAATTCTGGCAAAATATCCAAATAAACGGACCAAAAAGTTTGATGTGTTTATATCCTGCTAACATCATTCCACAAATTTATCATGGCAATATTGTACACTATTAGTAGTAAACGCATATTTTACAAAAAATTATCTAATCTATTTTTTTAAGCTTTCGTGAAATTACTATCATATATAGTATTAAGTAAAAATCATTAAATAGTGACAGATGTCAATTAGTATAATGGAACGGTTTGCACTTTACATATCCTGATGGCGTGAAAATGAATTTACGAGTATTTATATCCATAAATCCTAAACCTACATCCGTAGGTACTTGGCAATATTTCAGTATTCCAAGATTGTAAATTAATGATGAATAAATTAATGCTTAGGTATTTTCTTTATATGGTGCTAAAATAAAGTGAATATTATTCATATTTATAATATATATTTCAAGCAGAAGGTATTGCTCTTTTCAGTTGCTTTTATGAACAACGCAAAATATTGCATTTTAGTAAGATACCGATTGTCCACTTTAATGAGGGTAAATAAATTTAATACTGTTCCAATCTTTGGTATTTAAGAACTAGGCGACAAGGAAATCATTACAACAGGTTGAATAATCTATACACAAGAAATGACTAGTATTTTACGGAATTATAAATTTAAAAGAGTTGATAATATTACGCCTGTCGTAAGTCTGCAAAAAAAAAAAAGAAAATATTTATATTCATTGATACTATAAACATCCTATGTGACAAATTTTATAGTCAAATTACTAAAACTGCAACTCACTGACGCTCAAACACGCTAATTGCTATCTGTAATTCATCTGGTTTGTTAAATGTAAACTAATTTTAATTAATTCAACATGGAGTGAGCTTTGCAAAATTAATGAAACCTACTACACACATAGTTAGTCCAATTAACTAAGCCTTTATATCGAAATTTTGCCAACTTGGCTGAATTTTTGATATGAGTTAGATTAAGGTATATTATAACAATAAGTGAGAGTAATTTTTTATTCAACCCCCGGCCAAGGGTGGAAAAAGATAAAACAAAGGGCTTTTTCAAGATAACTCAAAAAGGGTAAGAGCTAGAAAAAAAAGTTTTTCATGAAAGTTGTAAAGCAGACAATTCTACATAAAAATGGCCTCTTAACTTTTTCTTGTACTATTACAATTAACAGAGTTAGGGAGGCTAGAAGTTAAGGGAAGATTTCAGAAATTTAAAAAAAATCATAACAAACAGAAAAATGATTGAATTTTGTAATTTTTTTTTTCAATCTGCTCTAAAATATGTAACTTTTCTTTTCAGAGAAATAGATATATTTTTTAATTTTTAATAAGAAAGTTATAACAAAAAATCAAATTTTTAATCGTTAATTTTAATGATTTAACAAAATTAAATTTCTGAAATCTTCCCTTAACTTCTAGCCTCCCTAACTCTGTTAATTTTAATAGTACAAGAAAAAGCTAAGAGACCATTTTTATGTAGAATTGTCTGCTTTACAACTTTCATGAAAAACTTTTTTTCTAGCTCTTACCCTTTTTGAGTTATCTTGAAAAAGCCCTTTGTTTTATCTTTTTCCACCCTTGGCCGGGAGTTGAACAAAAAATTACTCTCACTTATTGTTATAATATACCTTAAACTAACTCATATCAAAAATTCAGCCAAGTTGACAAAATTTCGATTTAAAGGCTTAGTTAATTGGACTATAGTATGACTAACGTGAATAAGGAAATAAACGAATACCAATCAACTTTTTTACTGCTTTTATATAATTTGCTAAATTAAAAAGAAATTAGTAAAATTTTGATATAGAAATATGATTATTCAGTTAGATAAGGTAGGGAGGACATATATTCACAATTAACATAAATTAAACAATTCTATTTGATATCAGACAAATGTTTTCTGTTTTTCAAAAAATTGTACGAAAGCCTTAACTTTTTTTAATGTTAATGTGAAATATATAAATTTCACTACAACATACACCAAATTTATATAGGTATTGGAAAAGTTTTAGGTTTTTTTTTCCAACTCAAATTTGATTTATAGAGTATATTTTTAGAGTATGTTTCGAAAATAAAATATAATAGGTCCCATGTCAAAATATTTTTAGTAAATTCTTTAATGTAATCTTTTACATGCGATGTATATTGTATATGAAAAAGAAAAACTATATTGAGACTACTTTATAAAATATATTATTATAATATAAGTGACTATAAATCTTACAAGTAATTGCAATAGTTGTAACATAAAAATGCTTTTTGTATTGTATAATTACAACGCAATATTACAATAGCGAGTCGTACAAGTACACCATAAAATAATTTTACGATTGAATTTTACAATGTATTTGCAATATCACAGTTGAAAAAAATAGCAGTAACTATTAAGGGTATATAAACTGCCATCTATTTCTACTGTAATTTCATTGTGTATAGTATATCCGACTTTTAAATTCAAAATTGTATTAGTCAACAACATAGAACACATTTAGCCACTTACCGTGTTATTCAAATATTATTTGTCTGCGAAGTTATTAAATTAAATATATGAAAAATTGCTTACCATTAATGACAAATTTATCATGCGTGTTCCACAATTTAATTAGTTTGTAAAGTATTTACATGGGAAATACATATTCCACATAGACATATTTATATTGTATACGTATGATACAAAATGTTTTAATAATGATGTAGCTTGTTTTATGAAAAGTAGTTTTATTCACCCACATAAGGCACCTAGAGAATTATTCCATAAAAAATATTCCTAGGTAGAAATATATTAACATATAAGAATGGTTGTGGTCGCAATAAAAACTAAAGTAAATGATCTATCATCTATCTGTTGTCGTTACACATTAGTTTTTCAATTATTATAAATGATAGGTAAGTTTTGTTCAAATGTGGTTCTATTTTTTTTTTCTGAATAATAATAATAATCATTACTGACAACTTAAATTCATATTCAACTTAAATACATATATTTTGTTAGGATAAAAAAATATTTAGCTTAAATCGCAGCAAAGTTGCGTAATTAAGACACCAACATTATGCTTCTAACAAATCAAGGTCAAAGCAATCAAAATCAATCATGATTAGTTTTCGAAATATTTGAAAGAAATCGAAATTTTGGCAATCCGTTTTTGTTTCATTTCAGCCTTGTTTGAGGTGATAAAAAGAACACTTTCTCATGGCAACTTTTTGCCCTCTGTCGTATGGCATAATCAATTTCTATATGTAACGTTTCGTCTCTACAGGACCATCATCAACTTCATTTTTTTAAATACGTCCCTGGAAATTTTATTACATTTCTAGCAAGCCTTCATGACCTCCAAGACTGTACTGTCTCAGAACGAACCAGAATCAGACGTTTTGTCTCGAAAAATTCATCTTCAATGTATTCCTTCCAAATTTATCTAAACGTTTTATTTAAATTTCTATGTTTATTGAATTATCGTACACTCTAAGTTAGACCCTGTGAAATTTAATTTTGAGCACTCGAGAAATCTAGAAATAACTATGGGCACGAGATTGAAAAAGATCGAGACAAAACGTCTGAATCTGGTTCGGGTTGAGGCAGTAAAATATTGGGGGTCATCAAGGCTTGCAAACAATATAATAAAATTTGCAAACCTATATTTAAAAAAATGAAGTTAATGATGGTCCTGGAAAGACGAGATGTTACATATAAAAATTAATTATGCCATTCGGTAGAAGGCAAAAGGTTGC